CAGCAATGAGCGTGAGGACCCTCGGGCCATCGCGGCATTTTGGAATCAGCAGGTGCGTCAGTGCGAGGTAGCCGTATCAGCTGAAAATTTCAGAAGTGAACGACAAACCCAACGTGGGCGGCAACCAGAGGGAGAAGGAAAAGGAGGAGGGGAACAAGCAGCTTGAGTTTACTGGTGAAGTATTTTAGGGAGTATGATATATTGCCGAGTGTGTTTGTGTGTGGGTAGGAGGCGTACTTAGGGACTCGCTCTGCCGTGCGCCAAATGATTATTGCGGCCAGCACTACCACAGCAGCACCTTTTTTTTTTGTTGTGGTTGCGAGTAAAATTGTGTGGGGAATGATGGCGCCTTGTGGGTGTACGCCGGCAGTATTCGATTGGTGATGTCTCCTCGCTGTGCCCAGTTTGTTGCTGCAGAGAGTTTGGGCGAGAGGGTAAGTTTTGCATGCTGAGTGGGCTCACAGGCGGGAAAGCAAATGCTGCGGCCACCACAGCCCAGAGGTCGGGGACAAACCGAATTTCTGAAATTGTTTTTGTGCCTTGGCGTGGTGTTTTTCTCTTTGTTTTTTTTTGGGTGCCATCGTTTTTGGTTGGCGTGCGGCTCCAATTGGTGGTGCCGCATGCGCCGCTGAGAGCCTCGAGCAAACGCCGTTGGCGTCTCTCTTTTGTTGGGTTGCCGTCCTGGGCGCATGCGCCTGTTCCGTCTTGTTCGGGATGCACGCATTGACCAGGCAGTCTGAGGCCACGGCTGCGCTGGCGTCGCCCTCGCTTGCAAGCGGAGCGAGGCAGCAGGAAAGGGGGCTGCCGCTCTTATTAGGCAGGGTTTATTTTTAGACGTTTTTATTTATTTGATGTTTTTTTTTTAAAAATATTACGCCCCACTCCTGCTGCAGTGCGCTGAGGGAAGTGGGCGGCGTTGGGGAATTTGTAAGGGCCATGATGGGAGGTCCCGCCGGGATGCGCACTGCGTGTTGCTGCTGGCGGGGTTTGAAGGGGCTGGGCGGGGGAGACGGTAAGCGAGGTGCTTATGAATTTGTTTTTTATTGTTTGATTTTTGCGGGGGCGTCCCACACTGCGGATGCTCCGTGCGGGTGCGTGCGGGTGTTTTTTCGGTCGGCGGCGAGTGTGTGATCGTGCGGCCCACGCGTTTGTTGGTGCGGCCTTCGTTATGGGTTCTCGCTCTTCTTTGCAGGGTGCCCAACTGTGAGCGCGGGCAGTGCCCATCGTTTTATTTTATTTTGGTTTCACCTTATTTTTTTCCTCTCAACGCGTTCGGAAGGAAAGAGACCAAACGCTACTTGTTGTTGTGAACATTGAAAAACTCTGCACTCACCACCAGCAACACACACACACACACACACACACATACACACAATCGTCGAGGCCTGAGCTGATCCAGCACAAGGAGGGAAGGGAGACAGTGAGTGAGCAGTAACACATGCTTAACATGTCCCGGCACCTGTTTTATTTTTCGGTGCTTCTTCTCTGCGTGCTGTTGTTATGCTTTGGAAGTACGGCTGTGCACTCTGAGGAGAGAAGTACGCCAAAAGACGTGGAGCCGCCAGAGGGTATCGATCTTTTTGTGCCTCATCGAACGATTGTGGGAACACGTGCTGGAAGTTGAACGAGGGTCTTCTTTGTCTCACCTTCCCTTGCCAGTGCTGGTGGAGTTTTGGTTGCACTTGCCGAGGGTCACAGCGACTCTCAACACGCCCATCAGAAAGAACCTTGGCCCGTTTATGTTGATGCTGTGACGGGGTACATTGACTATGCGGAGAACTGGTCGTCTTTTGTCGCTAAGGTCCGTGCAAACAAATGGAAGGCGTACAACATCTTTAACA